GATTCTTGTAACAAAACAATTGTACTATTCTCGCCTACACCTTCAGCCGCACATCAGTGCAGATTTCAGTTCAAGCATCTATTGTAACGCAGCAAAAGGCTCAAATTCTAACGATGGTTCATGGTTCAAACTTGAAATTCCAGTTCGACAAGGATGCTTTGAAGAGATTCGCGGCTATATGATGATCAATGTTGCTGGAGGACTTGAGCACGATGTATCTCTTGACGAGTGCAAGTGTTTCTGCGCGAACAGCAAGTAAGTGCGCTAGAATATAAAAAAGTGTCTATCTGAATTTATTTTGATTTTGTTTCTCTTGCCTTCATTTTCTTATTTATCTTACCTGGCAAAAACTCAGTGAGAAAAAAACCATGTACATATTTTTGTGTCCACATTTCCTAGCCTGTACAAGAGACCATATAGCGTAGCACGCAGTTCTTTCAAAACGTAAACAATGAAAGTGACAAAACTTTTCTCAGAACAGTAACGTTGCAAAGTGACTTGTCCTCTATAGCAAGACTAACTATAATGATATGCGATATAGCCCGAACGTTTCTTAGACCTTATTCTATCGTTTTTACAGTTACGTCATTAATCTCAACGAATCTTTGTATCATTCAATACCCGCACTTTTATCCAATTTAGGACTTCTCGCCGATATGCATTTGATTGCCTTTCCGCTACATACTATCATGACGAACGCGACTGTATCCTAAATCTAGACGATCGGAACAGAAGTCCTCAGCTTCTGGAGGAGCAGAAAGAATTATCCGTAACCTACATCGGTCCCACATGTGGAAGAGGTTCGTATCTTGGTGAAGACAAGCTTTTTGTTGTTCTGCCCTCAATTCCCTCACGGAAGCGCTCACATTAACCGGTTGCGAAAAAGCGTGATGAAAAAAAACAAGGGTTAGGCTGATGAGAAAGTGCGCGACGTGTTTCGCTAATGAAGTCTGAGGTCACGCGACGGCTGTGTCGGTGAATGGCTCGAACGATGATGAGGGGTACTCTCGATTATCTAGAACGTATTAGATGTTTCATTTCACTCGGAAAAAACGCTTTCACTTACAATCATACTTGCATTCACCTTATGCGTCCCCTCTTTGAA